TGCACGTACACAAGGGAATGTTCTCCAGCCATAACGAAGGATGGGATCTTGTCATTCCCAACACCACAGATGGAACCACAGGTCATCATGCTGTGTCAGTCAGGCAAAGAAAGACAGGCAACACATGACCTGGAGTTTAAATGGGGAAAAAAAAAAGGGAGTAAGGCAATACTCCTTGTACTACTTCCTAATTTTTGCTCTGTAAATTCAGAACTAAACTGAAGTAAAACACTTATCCTAAAAAAACCTGTGGAATCTAAAGATAAGGAGTTCAAGTGGAACAGCGGTTACTGCAGGCTGGGGAGAACAGGAGGCAGGGAGGCTGGGGAAGGGTTTGGTACAGTCAGAAGAGAGGCGCTCCGGCGTTCCGTAATGCACCATGTTTTTCTCTAACGACAGTAATGAGAAAAATTAGAAGAGAGGGTTTTGAATATTTTCACAATAAAGAAACATTAAATGCTTGAGGAGACAGGTGGTCGCCTCTCAGGAACACCACAGAGTGCACCTGTGTATCAAAACATCACACGGTGCCCCATAAAAGTGCCCTTTTTATTTGTCAGTTTCAAATAAAAAACTTTTTAAAATGTTAGTGCTATTTTTGCTTATCTACATTTTTCTCACTGGTGTGCAATGAAAATATTTCTATAATAACTTTTTTTCACTGTTGCTTTTTAAAAGAATAATTCAGGGCAGGTGTTTGGCATGGCAGTTAAGACCCAACTTGGACACCACATCCCACACAGGAGGGGAGTATGTTCCAAGACCTCCAGTGGCGGCCTGAAACCATGGTTAGTATGTAACCATATACATATTATGTTTTTGCTATACAGGCATACCTCAGACTGGGGCTGGAGAACTACTGTATATGTAGCATAAGTAAAATAATCCCAATTACAGCCTGTTATTCTAACATCATGTTAAATACACAAAATAGTTGTGATAAGTTCCTGACAATACTCATCTTTTTCTAATTCTGAATTAATTCCACTGGAATTTATTCAACTATTTAGTTTGTCGCTTGTTTCCTAAGATTTGGTCAGTGAAAACCATCCATAACATTTTATCTTTCAGTCGTTAAATTAAAAACATTTTATGGATAGCTTTCATCCTTTGATGTAATACTCGCTTGAAAGCTACACTGTGGTTTCGAATGAAGCATGTATATATATTAAAAAACATGTATGTAATTTCTTTTAACATTTTAACGCTAGTGGTTTCTTATACATCTCTTTATGCACTCACTAGTCACTGCTCCATAAATCAGAAGCTGAATCTCATTTTCTCTTCTTAAAACAAATGTGGAAATTGCTTTCCAAAGCTTTATTTTTTTTCTACTTTCACAGAAAGATCACAGAAAAAGGGTACAAAGAAGAAGCTCAGAACTAAATGAGTAACAGCTCAAAGAAAAGTATTTTTAAAAAACTTCATATATAAAACCTTATTTGAAGCCTTTTATGAACACAAAAGGAAATTTTTCTTCCTACAGAACCCCATTAGAAGCTGAAGTATGTTTGTATAGACCGGCTGCATGTGTGCGTTCTGAACACCAATTGTCTACAACAGGAAAAAGCAGTCTGCTCTCATTCTTTGCTAAGGACTACTTCTTCACCTGTCTGCTGTTAAAAAACTCAAAGTAAATCCTTGTTGCCCAGCATTCTTGGTTCTGCTTATTCTATTTATTTAAAGATTTATTTATTTATTTGAAGGCAGAGTTACAGGGAGAGAGAGAGAGAGACAAAGAAAGAGATCCTTAATTCTTTTTTTTAATTCCTTTTTTTTTTTTTTAGACAGGCAGAGTGGACAGTGAGAGAGAGAGTCAGAGAGAGAAAGGTCTTCCTTTGCCGCTGGTTCACCCTCCAATGGCCGCCGCTGCAGCCGGCGCACCGCGCTGATCCTGGCAGGAGCCAGGAGCCAGGTGCTTTTCCTGGTCTCCCATGGGGTGCAGGGCCCAAGCACCTGGGCCATCCTCCACTGCACTCCCTGGCCATAGCAGAGAGCTGGCCTGGAAGAGGGGCAACCGGGACAGAATCCGGCGCCCCAACCGGGACTAGAACCCGGTTTGCCGGCGCCGCAAGGTGGAGGATTAGCCTATTGAGCCACGGCGCCGGCTCAGAAAGAGATCTTCTATCCACTGGTTTGCTCCCCAAACAGCTGCAACAGTTGGGGCTGGGCTGATCTGAAGCCAAGAGCCAGGAGCTTCTTCCTGGTCTCCCACGTGGATGCAGGAGCCCAGGGACTTGGGCCATCTTCTGCTGCTTCCCTGGGCATATTAGCAGGGGCTGGATCAAAACTGGGACTCAAATCAGCGCCCCTATGGGATGCTGGCTCCACAGATGGCGGTTTTACCAGCCACGCCACAGCGCAGGGCCCTCCTTATTGTATTTAAAAGCGCTAATAGAAATGGCTTCAAGCTCTTTTCGTTTAAGTTTCCAACACCAAAGTAGGCGTTAGGGCACAGCTGGCTAAGCTGCCTTTTGGGACACCCACATCCCATACTGGAGTGCTTGGTTCTAATCCCAGCTACTCCACAATTCCAATCCAGCTTCCTGCTAATGCACCTGGAAAGTAGCAGATGATGGCCCAAGTACTTATGTTCCTGCCACCTAATGTGGGACACTCAGATGGAGTTCCTGGCTCCTTGCTTTGGCCTGGCCCACCCTTGGCTGTTGCAGCGTTCTGGGGGGTGAACCAGTGGATGGAAGCTCTCTCTATGTATTCTCTCTCTTATTCTTCTTTTCAAATAAATAAATGTTAAAATTTAGGAGACTGCCTAATAACACTGGAACAATATTTCCAACCTATTGTTGAAGAAATATTGTAATCTGGGAAGCAGGTGGATACTGTAATAGCACTAGAATTTTGCTATGCTGGGAGTCATTAAGATTTTTTAGGTACTGTTGTGCTTCCAATTGAAGTCAGAGCCCGACCAAGTGAGAGACATAATGTGATGGATGGAAGAAGACAAGAGAAATTCACTGGCACAACAAGCACGGATTAAGAACCAACATCACTGAAGAGGCCTGGAGGGGAACACGACGTGGCCTCCCAGGGGAAGCCGGCAGGGGCAGGTATACGTGCGAGGCAGCACAGTGCTGGAAAACCAATCTGAGAGGGAAACAGTAACAGAAGACACAGACACTGCCACTCCTGGTACCAGAAAGGATCCCATCGCGTATGCTGCGGCTTTCCTCAGTAGTTCTAAAACTTACAGGAGCCACCCCACCCCTACAGCAAATACAGTTCTACAGATTACAAAATCAAGTAGCCATCTAAACATGCAGTCCTTTTAAAATGTCTAAAACCTTGTCCTACGTTCATTTTCTGTTCATTTCTGACTAAATTTAAATCATTCTATTTTTTTCTATCCAGATACTTTCTTGCTATTAATGACAAAATTATTTTCATACCAAATTCTTGAACTACCTCTTCTTTTTTTGGGGGTGGGGGGGCACAGAGGGTGAGAGGGGGAGTAGCTTCAATTCACAACTTTTATCTTTCCTAATACTAGGGATTTCTCACTATTTAATGCTTTTTAGTTTTTTTTTTTTTCTCTTCCACTGAATCCATGTGCTTTTATTCTTGTTTTAAAAGCAAGCAAAATATAGAATGTCCCTGGTTTAACTTCTTGACATAGATCTAGAACTAAATAAATGTGCTAGAAAAAAATTGAAACATAGACTCAATACCAGCAGATAAATCCATTTTGCTTATATTGCATTTTATTCAAATATTCATGAAAATTATGTGCGTGATGAAACCACGACTGCTCTCTTTGCCAAGATATACGGGGAGGGTGGCAAAAGGAACAACTCAGAAAAGACTGGACCGTGATTCACAGAAGGGAACAGTACTTCTGCTAAAGCACTAGGACTACTTTAACCTCACTCTAAGACTGTTTTGCCATTAAAAAATAACAACAAAAACTTATGTGAAATAGATTGATCGGTCCCCAAAGAGCTGATAATACATTATAGAAACACAATGCTCTTTAATCATTATCGAATTAAATTCCCACATTTTGCAGGCTAGCAACTTACAAACGGACTCAGCCAAGCTGTTTTCCTGCTGGTAACTCAAGTTCCTGTTTAAAAACTGTGCCAATTCCTCTTGGGTGTTCTGGGGGTGTAAATGATTTCCCTGAAGTTTTCGCCAAGACCTTCTCACCATCGTATCTTATGAGAAAGCCACAAGGCTACGGCAGAACACAGTGACTAGGCTGGGAAGAAAAACTATTTTGGGGAATGATTTTGATGTTTAAAATAATGAAGGAAAAAAACACACATGAAAATATCATGCTAATTGGTTTTTAATATGATTCTGTATACCAAGTTAGCTATGTACTGAATTATTGATTTTTTTTGAAGATGCATATGCTTGTTTAAGATAAATTCTGCTTCGTATAGTGGTGGCTAAAAATGCAAAGAAATTAAAGAAAGAAAGACCAGCACATGCTATGACAAGATCAGAGGAGTATACTTGATACAGACAAACCCAGACACTACTAAGAACAGAAGGCCACGACAGCTCTGATACATTTTTTTAAAACACAAGGTATCCTAGTCACTGGAAGCCTACGAGAGTATGTCAAAAGGTTTGTGGAAAATGGAATTAAAAGACAGGTTTATTACAGTGCAAAAAAATTATGAAATTCATGTATATGAAAGGTCTTCAAAAAGTTTAGGAAAAAAATAGGTATTATGAAATAAAACTATTCATGAATTTCAAAATTCTTTTGTACCAAAATAAACTTATTCTTTATGTCTATTTTCCACAAGCTTTCTGAAGTCTACTGTACTCTTACCCTGATCATCTCTGAAAACCACTCACCTCCAAAGAAATGACAAATCAGAGATGTAAGTGACAGCGCTCCACAGGATATTCAGTGCTACGAGTTCCCAGTGGTTCCCCATGATGTGACTGGGGAAAGTTTTTAAAGTCTATTACGAGCACCTGGAGAAAAGCGACGATGCTGTGATGCAACAGAGAGGTGAGACACTGACCTGGTTGATGGAGTTGGCAGCGCAGGATGCAAGGCCTGTTCCGAGAGAAGTGAGCAGGAAGCAGGGCCAGTCGAAAGGTCCCGGAGCCAACGCAAAGCCAGCTGAAGTGGTGCTTACAACTAGAGCTGCGACACAGAAACAGGGCAGACACATGGTTACCAGCAAGATTCCCACTGTACAAGCCAGAAAGGTGAGGAACAAACCATCTCCCACATAAACCAACTGGTTACATTCACAGCATAAGCTGTAGGCTAAATCTTCTTTCATTTAAAACAAATTTTCCTTTTTATGATTCTAAAAAAGTGTATGTGTTAATTACAGAAAAATGTTAATTTTAAGTCTATATACTTGCAAGTAAAAAAAAAATAAAAGAAGACAGGCCTTCCATATTCTACCATTTACTTATTCATTCAACAAACATTTACTGAATAGCAAATTCATGATCAGTACTGTGCTAGGTAGTAGGCAACATAAGGGATAAAGATGTAGGAGGTTTTGCTTTTGCTGTTGAGTAGACAGGAGATGACAGATTATTGAACATTAGGTAGCAAATAACAAGGACCCCAATTCAAACTCCAAAGCCTAGTGAGAGGCTTGCCTGTAATAGATGGTGTACGAGTAAGTGATGGTAATCCTATGGCCATCAACAAGGACCAAAGAAAGAGACAAGGTTCTGGGGCTGGTGCTGGGGCCTACCGGGTAAAGTTCCCGCCTGCAGTGCTGCCATCTCATATGGACACCGGTTTGAGTCCCGGCTGCTCCACTTCCAATCCAGCTCTCTGCTATGGCCTGGGAAAGTAGTAGAAGATAGTCCAAGTCCTTGGGCCTCTGCACCTATGTGGGAGACCTGGAAGAAGCTCCTGGATCCTGGCTTCGGATTGGCACAGCTCTGGTTGTTGTGCCCATTTAGGGAGTGAACCAGCGGATGGAAGACCTCTCTCTCTCTCTCTTTCTCTACCTCTCTGTAACTCTTTCAATTAAATAAATAAATCTTAACCAAAAAAAAAAAAAAAAAAAAAAAAAAAAAAAAAGGCAAGGCGCAGGAGCTAAGCCAGGCAACTCTAACATTCACTATAGCTGCTCCTTTTTGGTAGCCCTAGTGCTCTTCTCCTGGGGTCAACAGACTCTAGCAGAACCAGCAATTGTCCAAGGACAGAACTGATATGGCACTGTGGGCGCTGCAGAAACTCCCTGGAAAAAGGGTCACCACTGGTTGAGCTGATCTGGGACAGTGTCAAGAAGATGGCATTGAAACTGCAGCTTCAGGAAAAGGAAGAGGATGGTGGGGCAAGTAACCTGCCAGGTAGCTGCAGGATTCCAAGAACAGGCCCAAAGGGGAGAAGGACCAACGTCAAGCATCTCAAGTGGGTGACATCATCTACTTAGATTCACCAACCAAAAACCTAAGAGGCATCCTGTATCCTCTCCTTTCCCACTCAATGGGAAAAGCACTGTCAGTTCTACCTGTGCCACACATTTCAACCCATCATGACAGCCACCATCTGGTGCAGTGGTTCTCAACCAGAATGGCTTTGTCCCCGGGGACATAGGCAATGTCTAGAGACATTTTCAGATACCACACTTGGGAGGGGAGGGTGCCACTTGTCTTCTAGAGGGAAGAAGCTGGGGATGTTTTTGCATTTGTTTTTTTAAAGATTTATTTTATTTATTTGAAAGGTAAAGTTGGGGAGAGAGGAGAGAAACATTTCTTCCATCCACTGTTCACTCCCCAAATGGTCACAACAACTGCGACTGGGCCAGGCCGAAGCCAGGAGCTGGGAGCTTCATCTGGGTCACCCATGTGGGTTCAGGGGCCCAAACAATTGGGCCATCTTCTGCTGCCTTCCCAGGTACACTAGCAGGGGGCTGGATCGGAAATGGAGCAGCCCATACAGGATGCTGGTGTTGCAGGCAGAGGCTTAACCTTCTACACCATAGCACCAGGCCCTGAGGATGCTTAACACTTCACCTATGGTGCACTGGACTGCATACCCAAGAAAGAATCTTCTGGCCTGTGACGTCAATGGTGCTGAGGCTGAGAAACCCTGATTCAGCACAAGCTGCTACTGCAGGAGCCTCCTCCCTAACTGGTTTCCTTGCTTCCACCTTAGTTTTCTTCAGAGTGATGTTTTTAAAAAGTAAACAGATCGCATCACTTCATGGCTGATGTTACACCTGGAATAAAATGTAAACTCTTTCCCCTGCCCAAAAGCATGTCTCAACCTCTCTTAGGCTCACTCTCTGCTCTCCACAGTCATCTTCTGTTGTTCAAGTTTGCCAAGCTCCTTCTTGCCTCAGGGGCCTTGAACTTTTATTTCCTAGGCCTCTCTCCACGGCTGGCTCTTTCTCTTCTTTCAGATTCTCTCTAAGATATTCATTCTTCTCTTTTTTAAAATTTTTAAATGTATTTGAGAGGCAGAGACAGATGGATAGACCAGAGAGCTTCCCATTTGCTGGATGTCCCCCCTCCACCCCGCTCCATGCCCACAATGGCCAGGTCTGAGCCACGGCAAAGAGAACTCAATCCAGGTCTCCGCTGCAGGAAGCAAAGACTCAACTGTATGAGTATCCCCACTGCCTCCCAGGGCCTGCTCTGGCAAGAAGCTGGAATTGAGAACCAGGCATCAAACTCAAGGTACTCCTATATAGAATGTATCTTTTTTTTTTTTTTTTTAAGATTTATTTATTTATTTGAAAGTCAGTGTTACACAGAGAGAGAAAGAGGGACAGAGAGAGACAGAGGTCTTTCAATTGCTAGTTCACTCCCCAATTAGCTGCAATGGCCAGAGCTGTGCTGATCTGAAGCCAGGAGCCAGGAGCTTCCTCTGGGTTTCCTACATGGGCATAGGGGCCCCAAGGACTTGAGCCATCTTCTACTGCTTTCCCAGGCCATGGCAGAGAGCTGGATCAGAAGTGGAGCAGCTGCGACTCGAACTGGCGCCCATATGCGATGCCAGCACTGCAGGCGATGCTTAACCTGCTACGCCACAGCACCGCCCCCCCACCCCCCGCCCCCCGCCTTTTTTTTTTTTGTTAAGATTTATGCATTTACCCATTTGAAAGAGTCACAGAGAGAGAAAGACAGAGACAGAGAGATTTTCAACCTGCTAATGCACTCCCCGGATGGCTGCAAGGGGTAAAGGTGGGCCACGCTGAGGCCAGGAGTTTCATCCGGGTCTCCTGCGTGGTTGGCAGGGGCCTAGGCACTTGGGCCATCTTCTACTGCTTTCCCAGCATGAGCGCATCAGCAGGCAGCTGGATGGAAACTGGAGTAGCTGGCCCCAAATCTGAGTGTCTTCACCAGCATCTTAACCACTAGGCCAAACAGCTGCCCTTAAGATGTTACTTTTTAGGGAGACCCTTCCTGTCACACCTAGTTACTCAATGGTGTATTATCGTTCTTTTCTTTCCTTCCCAGGCCTTACCACACCCTGGCTCCTCACGGGAATAAAAATCGAGAAGGCAGGAGCCCTGTCTGTCTGGGAGGATCGAGGCCGTATTTTTATCACCACCTCTGTGCCAGGCAGAGAACAGTACTCACGGGAGGAAGAAGGATGGTGGCTGCTGAACTGCAGAACATCAAGCCAAGGGAGTTAAAGAGACATCAAGAAGTTTGTGGGAAATGGAATTAAAGGGCACGGTCATTTCTGGTGCAAAAACTTTTGTTAAATCCATGGGTAGTTATTTCACAATACACATTTTCCATGAACTTTTTGAAGAGCTGTCATATTTTGGTGGTAGGCAGCAGGAAATCACTGTCAGTCCCACTTACGGAAGCAATCCCAAAGTAGAAGTTTAACCTGTAGCAACTTGTGCAACCACTTACAAGGGCTACACTTTGCAGAGAAACAATTTAAGGGGCTATTCTATTAACCTACTGTGAACAAGTGTGGTCAATATGGGAACTGAAGATTTACGAGGGGTTATTTTTGGCTAAGTAAATTGCTAGGACCTGATAACTGAGAGGCTGGAAGACAAAATAAAACCAGAAAAGAATAAGAGGTTAGGTGTTGAGCTTGCGTGACATGGAGAAGAAATCCAAGTCACAGTTACAGAAATCAGGAAATGAGGGGAAGAGGTGGTGAAGCCAGCCAGTCCTAGGACAATGTGCTGTTTCTCCAGAACTGCAGGGCATCTAGGCAGAAATATCCAGGAAGTGGATGAGACTGGAGAGTGGAGCTCTGGAGGCCAAGACAGGAGATGGGAGTGAGACACAAAGTTCTCGAGTCACCTGCCAAGGAAACCACGGCTGACCCTGGGCGCGTGGATGACAGTATCAATGGGCAGCAAGTGCAACGGAAAGTGTGTGAAAAATGCCATTCTTTTATACTCAGAGGAAGGCGAGAATGAGGCAGCGCACATGTCCAGGAACATGAAGTGGCCATACGACGCAGGACAGGAAGGCCCACTACTGACATCAACAAGCGCATGCTAGATAGCCAGTTGTCCTATCTCTCAATCTAGTCTTACTGGTGACATTTTGGTCCCACCATATGTACTGGCCCCTCCCCTACTTATCTACATCAGACTCAGGTTCCTTGACATCGCATGTATTTCTCTGGTTAGGTTCAATGGCCGTTTGCAAAAATGACTTAAGTCTATGTACTGAGATTGCTATCCAGAACACAAGTCTCTAGAAAGCATGTACCTTGGGCAAGAGGTCCTGCCTTGAACTCAGGGCTTCCCCAATGTGGTGTACATTCAAACCTCCCAGGGGAAGACTTACCTCCAGAGAAGCGGGGATGTGCACAAATCTAAGCAGACAGAAGAGCCAGGTTCAGAAATGAAGATGCACGTTGGGACAGAAATTACAGAAGATCAGCAGCAGACGGCAAACAGGAGGCTGATCAGAAGTCATGGTGGCCCACATGTCCAGGAGACAAGCAGGGAGGAAGAGACAGGGAATGCTCCGAGGCCAGAAGCCAGGCACTGCCTCATCTCATGTCCCCTCTGCTTGACAGATGGCCTGCCCTGGTCCAGATGTGGCTCTACAAGTCACAGCACAAGCAGCGTGGGCAAGGTACCGAGGAGCGGCGACTGACCAAAGGCAGCTGGGGATGGCAACTGAAGAGAGACAACATCCTGGCAGAAACTGTTAGCGCTCCAATTCTGTAGTGACTCATGC